AAACATGAGCACCTGCTAATGCACTATACATATTCGATATGAATAAACTATTGTCAAAGAAAATCACCTGATATTGGTGTAAATTAATTCTATCCAAACTATACCAGCTGCCAGAGACAGATAGAAAAGGACTTTACCTGATCTCAAGTCTTCCTAATCTCAATTGTCAAAGAAAACTATACCTGATATTGATGTACCCCAAGTCTTCCTTATTATCTCAAACATTCTTCTCATTTCAAAATATAAATTTCTGGTTTCTTTTTCCTTGTTACTTGGCATGATGGCGAGTCCGATGAACTCGGTTCAGTATAGCCGCCCGGCCTTAGTCGGTATTTTCTAAATTTTTTGTAAAATAGTATAGCCGCGCGGCTATACTCGGGTTTTTAAAAAATATTCTGGCGAATCGGACTCGAACTCATCACTACGAACGTCTAGGGCACAGAGCAAGCCCGTTCCAGGTTTTGAGCAGTGTTCGAGATATCGGCCTAGGCCCTTGGCGGGAGGACACCGACACCAGGGAGTTAGGGGGGGCCTAGGGACCTGGGCGGATCTAGGCGGCGCCTAGGCGGCCTGGGAGGATCTAGGCGGCTCCTAGGCGGCCTGGGCGGTATTCAATGAAGAGAGATGAAGCTTGCATTCGCAGTCCAATCTTCAAAATTCAAATACTCGGTCTTGAGCCTCTCTCTCAACTCAAGCTTGGATTTTTTTCCTTTGGTTTCGGCTGCTGCGTTGATTCGAATTTTTTTTTTTGGGGGCTTTTCTGTTATTGAAGTTGGCAACGTCAGATGAACATCCAAGGCAGTTTCTTAGTATGCCAGAAGAAGCCCAGCAGATGGTTCTTTAACCTGAGGCACACCTTGCAGTTTGGCATTGGATTACACCATGTCGGTCTGAATGACAAAGATAGATCTATGGTTGAGGAGCTTTTTGCAAACAACAAGATTCAGGCATTTCTGTTTTACCTCAGTAAGCATGAGTCTTTCCCGAAAAACACATTAGGAAAAGAGTATAAAAAGATAATTTTCTTACTCCTTATACTGATTAGGCATATGTATTAAATTATAGGTATTGGTTTGTACCAGTACATTGGCATGGGGTGTAAACCTTCCAGGTCATCATCTGTTCATTATTAAGGTAAGGTAAAATTTGTGCGGTATCTTTTTCATTTGGTTCTTATATTTACAAAGGTTTCTAGCAGGAGTATATTGCAGCAGCTGTTCTTCAGGACAAATTTATGTAAGTGTTGATTCTCTTGCAGGGAACAGAATATTATGATGGGAAAACAAAGAGATATGTTGATTTTACAATATCAATCACAGATATATTGCAAATGATGGTTTTGGTCACACATGACTACATAGAATAAAAAATGGAAAGAAAGAAATATGTGAATCAGATTACATGTTTTTCTCCCTTTATAATCAACAGTTGCTCAGATTCTACAAGAAAGATGGGAGTAGATGTCCATCACAATCCGCCCGCCTAACAATCAATAAACACAAATCATATTAGTTTCTGAATATTTGCCTCAAATATTAATACTAGGAATCAGGTTGTTTGGGGTTTTGAATATCAGAAATAAAAGACCAGTGCTAGTGCGAATTGGGCATTCTGCCTTGTTTATATTATTACATTCTACAACTAGCATATCAGTTGATTAGTTAGAGATGTTAATCGGGGATGCTGAGCACCCCTGAATGTTTTTAGTCCATGCTTCTTTCCTGTATTGTTTATCTTGTTTTGTTTTTTTTTCCTTTGTCCTCCAAGAGAAGCTCTTCTTTTGTCTTATTTACGTAGATTTATCTGGCCTGAGGAAGGATTGGATGTGAGTTAACCAGACCTTCAGAGACCCCTAAAACATGAGAAATTATGACTTACTCATTAAAGTGTTGTTAGAAGGGCCACTTTGGAATTTAGCCATATATATTTTTGTCTGTAAGGACAATGTGCAGCACTTGCACTTAAATGGTACACTAATTGTTTCTGAAAATGGTGAAGCTTTGTTTTATCTAATTATTTATTTTTAACAATTACGCTTTCATTCGGTTGATTTGTTCCTTAAGAAAGTAGAGTTTTCACCTCCTAGCCTCTTCTCATATCTTTTGGGTTCTTTTCAGGGTTTATGGTTTGATGGGGATTCTTCCCTTATGGATGATGCCATGCATGAATGTTGAACTTGCTAACTCGCTAAGCAGAAGAGGAATATTCAGCGTACAGCTACTATTCCCCAAGGCAACTTTGCAGACCATGATTGGAAATTTTCCTGCTTCAAAAATGTATCTGGTACAGACTTCTAAGATAGTGGAAACATGGCTGACTAACCCACAGGTCAAGATTTAACATGACTGGACAACTTTTTGACTGGGCTGGGTAGGTTATTGAAATACAAGTCAGTTATTTGCTTTCAGGCGTGTTAACTAATTTCAGTAGCATTGCATCTAGAATATTTTGTTCTTCTAGGATCTGCAGCCTTTTCCATGCGTCGAAGTGAAATTAAAACTTCAGCGAAAAGTCTCGCTCTTTAGACATCACACTGGTGAACACTAATTTCAGGCAAAACAAATCAGGAGCGTTTACCCCGCTTTTCCCTAAGGTAAAAACTTCTTCTTGTTCTAAACTAGTAATGAGAAACCAAACTGAGCTTCAGATTCTCTTTTACAGGTGAAAAACGAAGCATGGTGGTTGGTCCTTGCGAACACCTCAACATGGGAATTATATGCCCTCATAAGAGTATCTTTCTCTGATCACTTGGTTACTCACATGGAGTTACCATCAGTTCCTAAGACTCTCCAGGTACCATGTGGCCTTTTCTTGCTTTGCTTGCTAACATTTGTTTTACCGTGCTTTCCAAGGGATGAAATTGACTTCAATTTCAGATTGTCATCTACGGTTCGAGCAAGAGCACTCTATTTCACAACTTATTGAACTGCAGTAACCAAAGGAAGATATCTTATCAGTCGGATACATTGGACCTTAGGTGTATATATTCGAATATATTTACCAAGTATAACTGCCCGGCTATACTTTTAAATATATATCTCCTTCTTGATGTATTTGAGTGAGATTGAGTAGTAGTTGTGAGTCGAGTCCCTTTCCTTCTCATACTCTAACCCTAGAAGAAAGGGGTTAAAAAGAGTAAATACCAAGAAGACTTTTTTTAGGACATGGACATTTAGATTCAAATCGCATTCAAGCAATTTTATACCTAGAAATTCAACATTCTTTGATCCACAAAATGTTGGTGGATCCCTTTTGTTGTTGTATTTATGGGTTAAACTCCTATTATTTCTTATAAATAAAATCCATTTTTTATTCTTGCCCAAAATAATTGAAGAAATAACTCCAACCGAATGGGCTACAGTGGTAGCCCCAAACCCTAAAATAATCTGAAAAGAAAAAACTGTATATTTAAAGAGTATAGCCAGCCGGCTATACTCTTTAAAAAATAAATCTAAAAAAGGCAAATCCGTGCGGCTATACTCTTTTTTTTTAAAAAAAAGGAAAAAGAAAAAAGGGCTATATAAAAGAGTATAGCCGCGCTGCTATACTATTTAAAAATTTAAAAATAATAAAAATCGCATAGCCGTGCAGATATACTCGTTAAAATTAAATTAAAAAAGGGTATGGCCTGTGGGCTATACTCTTTAAAAAATAAAAAAATAAAAAAATAATATAGCCGCGCGGCTATACTCAAAAAAAATAAAAAAAATAAAAAATAGTATAGCCGGTCATCTATACGCCTGAAAAACAAAAATAAATAAATAAATAATAGTATAGCCGGGCGGCTATACTCGTCAAAAATTAAATATAAAAAGGGGTATAACCGTTGGCTATACTCTGTAAAAATAAATAAAATCATTAAAAATAGTGGCTATACTCGTTAAAAATTAAATATAAATAGGGTATAGCCGTGAGTCTCAAGTATCAGTGGGAGCTGCCTTCGGGGTAGGCCAGTCCACAGTTTCTCAAGTGACTTGGAGATTCATTGAAGCATTGGAAGAACGTGAAAAGCACCATCTCAAGTGGCCTGATTCCAACAGAATGGAAGAAATAAAGTCCAAACTTGAAGAAGCCTTTGGATTTCCCAATTGTTGTGGAGCCATAGACAGTACACACATCATTATGACCCTTCCTACCTTTCAAACATCAGATGATTGTTGTGACCTGGAGGACAACTACAACATGCTCTTTCTGCAGGGAATTGTTGACCATGCGATGAGGTTTCTTGGTATTGTAACTGGTTGGCGTGGGGGAATGACGGTGTCTAGACTTTTAATGTGTTTAGGATTTTTCAAGCTCTGCGGAGGTGGACAGCGTTTGAATGAAAATTTTAGAACTTTATCTGGAGGAGTAGAGATTAGAGAATACTTAGTTGGTGGGTTGGCTATCCTCTGCTTCCCTGGCTCATAACTCCTTATGAAAGCAATGGCCTCCCAGCTTCCATTTCAGCTTTCAATGCCGTACATGGGGTTGCAAGGTCTCTTGCGGTAATGGCATTCTCGCAGTTAAAGGGCACTTGGAGAATCCTTAACAAGGTCATGTGGAGATCCGGTAAGTGGAAACTTCCGAGCATCATCTTGGTATGTTGTTTATTTCACGATATAAGAATTGACAGGAGATATATTACAACTTAGTGATGGCCTCTTCAGCTTCTTCCAGCTGCCCCTTCACCTTTTCAAATTCAATACCTTTGCCCTTTTTGCTCATTTCAGTAATCTCCACCTTCCTCTTCAGGTCTTCCACGGTTATTTGAAGGTTTGTCCACTTTTGTACGTCAGAATCAAGTCTTTCTAGAATCCTTCTCTTGTTGCCTTCTTGACGGGGCTCTGTAAATCTCTTAGAGATCCCTAATTTGTTCCTTCTCAACCAATGATTCTGAAGAGGAATATTTATTCTTGTGTTCCTTTACTGCTTCAGTCTGACTGTGGTCAGTTGCTACAGCATCCACCTTCTAGCCCTTGCCAACCATCAAATCAATGCTGGCATCCTGGTCAGTGGTTTCCCACAACTCAAGCATTTGACCATCAACCTCTATGGTGTCTCTACTGCTTATCCCCTATGCAGATAGAAACCAGCTTACTTTCCATATGGCGTTTGCAACATGCTTCTCAAGTGCTGTTGTACACTCCTTCAAAGAGATGACAGATGGAACATAGGCAGCCAGCTGATCTTGTAGCCCTGATAAACGAAAATCAGGGGGAGAAAAAAAAAAAAAAAGAAGAAGAAGATGCCAGTATAGCCGCCCGGCGATACCTTTTAAATATATTATATTTAAAGAGTACCGCTGCTCGGCTATACCATTTAAATATAATATTTAAATATTATAGCCGTGCGGCTATACCATTTATTTTTATTTTTTTTAAAAAAACCCAAAACTGGCGAGCTTTACATTTCCCTCCCTGCCTGGGTCGCTTCACTGAATCACTTCCCATCAAAGTCTTCAAGTTCAAGGCCAAAAAAGAGGTGGGCAATTTCTCATTTGACCTCTCATGGCACCTCCAAGAAATCAAAGAAAAGCAAGAAAGATAGGAAATTGAAGAAAAACTTAAGCTTGGTTCCAGTCGAGCCTAAAGCCGCAGGCTTTGACTGGTGGGATAGTTTCTTTAACCCAAGGTTTTTCTTTTCACTAAGCTCAGTCTCTAATTACTTTGCTTCCTGCTTTTTAGTGGAATGCATTCTGATTATTTGTAGTTTTAACTGAATTATCTTTATATTTTGCTGATTTTGGAAAATCTATTATGCACAGAAATCTAGAACAGGTGGTGGATTTTGTTGTGTAATGTTAAATTCGGTAATGATGTTCATAATTAGAGCTCAAAACCTATAAACTGTGCTTTTGTTCAGTTAGGCTGTTGGAAAAATCGGCCTAGGCGCTAGGCGGGTCTAGACGGGTCCTTTTTTTTTTTTTTTTTTTTTCTCTCCTAACTTTAGCTAAACTATGAACTCGCTTCAATTTATGATGGCCGCTATACAAAAATTTGCTTTTGATTATGTGTTTTGCATCATGAAAAGGAAAGATGTGGTTGAAAAGTTATTACTAGAGGGAGCAATAGAGATTTTAGCCTGTAAAAGTAGTATGTAATTGTTAGGAATCTG